TTTCATTTCTCTTGAGCATATACCTGGAGTAGAATTTCAGGGTCAAATGGTTTAATAATGTTTTAAATTTTTAGGAACTGCCAAACTCTTTTCTCAAGTGGCAGCACTATCTTATTTTCTACCAGCAATGTATGAACTTTCTGATTTCCCTACATCCCTGCCAATACTTTTTATTATCTATCTCTTACATTGTAGTCATCCTAGTAGATATAGAGTGGTATCTCATTGTGGTTTTGATTTGCATTTCCCTGATGACTAATAATATTGAACATGTTTTCATGTACCTAATGGCCATTTGTAAATCCTCTTTGGAGAAATTTCTTTTCAGATCCATTGTACATTTTTAAGTGGGTTGTCTTTTTAATATTGAGTGGTAAGAATTCTTCATCTATTCAGGGTGCAAGTCTCTTTTCATATATATGACTTGAAAGTATGTTCTTGCAATCTGTGGATTGTCTTGGGGAGCTTCCAGTCTGGGCAAGAAGGGACAGCATGAGCGGTGTAAGGAGGAGACGCACAGTACAGTCTAGGGTGAGCTCTCTGAGCCTCAGGGTTGCTCACTGCTGGATGAGCTGATCTGACATTTCCACGTCTCTGCAGCAAGAATGTGTGTCCCTGTATGCTCAGTGCTGTGCAATCAGGCATACAAGCTAAGTGTCAGGGAGGCGGCGTCTCACAAGACCAGGAGCATGGGAGACTGGGGGAAGCAGGAGGTTCTTTCTCTCGTTCCTCCCTCCCTTCCTTCCTCTCCCCCCTCCCTCCTTTCTTCTTCCTTCCTTCCTTCCACATTTTTTTTTTTTGGACAGGGTCTCACTCTGTCACCCAAGATGGAGTGCAGTGTCGTGTGAATATGGCTTACTGCAGCCTCAACATCTCAGGGTCAGTGTGGTCCTTCCACTTCTGCCTCCCAAGTAACCAAGACTACAGGAGCATGCCCTCATGCCCAGCTAATTTTAAAAAAAACTCTTTTATAGTGACGAGGTCTCAATCCGTTGCTCAGGCTGGTCTCAAACTGCTGGGTTCAGGCGATCCTCTTGCCTCGGCCTCCCAAAATGCTGGGGTTACAGGTGTGTGAGCCACTGTGCCCAGCGGGAGGCTCATTCTTTTTTTTTCTTTTTTGAGATGGAGTTTTGCTCTTGTCACCCAGGCTGGAGTGCAATGGTGCGATCTCGACTCACCGCAACCTCCACCTCCTGGGTTCTGGCAATTCTCCTGCCTCAGCCTCCTGAGTAGCTGGGACTACAGGCATATGCTACCATGCCCAGCTAATTTTTTTTTTTTTTGTATTTTTAGTAGAGACGGGGTTTTACCATGTTGACCAGGATGGTCTCGATCTCTTGACCTCGTGATCCACCTGCCTCGGCCTCCCAAAGTGCTGGGATTATAGGTGTGATTATAGGATTATAGTGCTGGGATTATAGCTTCCCGGCCTGGGAGGCTCTTTCTTAAGAAAGAAGACTCCGTATTGCAAACTTGCACAGGACTAACAGTATGGATGATAACATGATTAACAGGATTATCTCGGAGGTGATACAGCGTGGCTCAGGAGCCAGGCTGATTGATTTATGTCCTGGCTGTAGGAGATGTCAGGACACAGTGCCCTTCCCATTCCCCCTTAGCCATTCCTGATGGCTTTTTACTGGGATTTTCTGCCTGAGGGTGCCCTCTGCTCAGAAGGCATACTGGCAGGCTGGAAGTGTCAGGAACCGCTCTCAACTAATGAAGAAACCCTCCGTGTTGTCACTCCTTCAGTGGGATGAGAACACGGTCTTCTTCACTGTCCCAGAGATGCCCAATACAGTCAAGCCCCATTTGTCCACAGCGGTAACCTGCTCAGGACTGCACCCTATGTTGCTTTTCTTCATTTCTTTGTTTCACTTCCTCTCCTCTCCTATTAGCCTTGGAATCATCTCTCAAATAAACCATTTGTATGAACATCCTTATCTCTGTGTCTGCTTCTGGGGAAATCCAGCCTAAAGACAGTGGTTCTTTTATTTCTTAGATCTATCCACCCAATTTCCTTGGGCAGATCACTTTACCACTTGTAAATTTCACTTGCGTCATCTACAGAATGTAGATAATAGCACTTATTTCTTAGAATGGTCAAGCAGTTTAGTATCTCACTCAGACATTAAAAGTACGGTAAATGTTCCTATTCTCATTTGTTTACTGGCCTGTAACATAAATATTCTCCCAGAGACTCTTGGATGAACATGACTCATTCAGACATAGGCAGGGAAAGATAAGCAGCCTGGAGCTGGCCCTGTGGAACATTGATTGATTGGGTTCCTGCTTCCAGTTACTTGTCTCCTCTCCAATGGGATTAAATGTCTCCACCATTTTTCATGTGACTTCTCTGGCATCCTGAATAGGTAGCATATTTCCCTGGCCCCCATAAATTAATTTTGGGCTTTCTCATGTGACTTGCTTTGAATAATGGCATATGAGCAGATGTGACATTCTCCACATCTGCGAAGAAGCTTGAAATGTGTTACTGCATGGTTTGGCAGGGGCTCTCTCACTCCGGTCCTCTACCAACACAAAGACATGTCTCCAGTGCCTGCCATACAGTTTGAGCTAGAACCATTAAATACTTTATTTAATTAATTAATTTGTTTATTTATTTGCGATGAAGTCTTGGTCTGTCTCCTAGGCTGGAGTGCAGTGGCATGATCTTGGCTTACTGCAACCTCTGCCTCCTGGGTTCAAGCGATTCTCATGCCTCAGCCTCCCGAGTAGCTGGAAATACAGGTGCACGCCACCATGCCTGGCTATTTCTGTATTTTTAGTAGAGATGAAGTTTCACTATGTTGGCCAGGCTGGTCTCGAACTCCTGACCTCAAGTGATCCAACTGCCTCAGCCTCCTAAAGTGCTGGGATTACAGGCATGAGCTACCGTGCCTGGCCTAAATACTTTATTTTTCATTTTTAAAAATGGGTTCATCCATCCATTTACAGATGATTAAATAACTATTGTGTGCCGAGCAGTCCCATATGTTACATGTGTCTGCATATGTTAATTCATTTCATCCTCACAGGAACGCTAAGACACAGGTCCCATTATCATCGTCCTTATTTTACATATGTGGAAAACTAAGGTTCCGTGAGGATTAGTACCTTGCTCAAATTCACACTGCAGGGAAGGGGCAAGATCTGCCTTCTAGGTTTACATTCTTGAATGCTGTATCCTGCTTCTCATAGCAGGTAACCAGCAAATGCCTATTAAGTAAACATTTGTTTAAACGATTGTTACTACTGGTAGCATTGTTCCCTTTCATTTACCTAAATAGGGAAGGTACAATCTACTGGGACAAATATGGGCTTCTGACTTTGGACCTGCTTGCTCACTCTTTCTATGTGAGTTGTTTGCTGAATAGGAGATCCTTCTGATTCTTCTGATTGGAGAAAACTTGTCCGTGGTGATCAAATGGGAATCACAACATTTCCCTTGCAGGACCTACATGAGCCACAAGATATATCCTGTCAATTCCATGTGGTTCCCAGATATCTTCCATGTGGACCCCAGTGTGGACCCTAGTGTGGACCCCAGATCTCTCTCCTAAAGGCCCATTCAAACCCCTATATCTTTCCTGAGGCCCACATGGATTCCCAACATTTTTCTTATAGCAGCTAAGCTTCATCACTTACATAGGTTTCCTTTTGTCATCTCATTGGCTCCTCTCCACAGCTCCGTAAATCAGCCTTGGCTTGCATTATAGCAGGGACAGAGAGCAGTGTTCATGTGGGTGAACCAGAGACAGGACTGACAGAGAACCCAGTTGTCCTGACCTGGAGCCCAGGACCCTTCCTTCCGGGTTGGCCTTGTGGCGGGATTATGCTCCCTGCTCAGCCCTTCCTAGGCACCAAGGCTCTCTCCCTCCATTTCCCCTCTGCCACACTAGTTCTTGTCTGCCTTTTTTCACTCCCACCCACTTTTCATGCCAGCTGTGGGAGTGAGGCCCCACTCCTGGCAGGCTGCAGCCAGACAATGGGCCCTTATTCTAGGCGAAGAATCCCTGCAGTGTCTCCCACCCACTGAGGCCCCCTTCCAGGCCTAAGATGGTGTGGGTGGGAGGTAGGAGTGGAGGGTATGGTGTGGGGGAAGGAGAAATTGGCCAGCAGCAAAAGAGTGGCCCTGGCTGTAGAGATCCCACAGGAGGTTTACTATGTAAACACCAATCACAATAAAAAGCCTGTCTTCACTCCCAACCCATCTCTCCAAATGGGCCTCTCTCAACCCTCCAACGTTCTGGGTTTTTAAACATTTACCCTGGCCTCTACTCTCTGGGTGTTCATCTCTGCATATACACTCTTTCGTTGTTTTTTCTGAGTCTCTTTTTCTAAGCTTCTCTCTCTCTCCTCTCTCTCCCTGTTCCTTTGCATAATTTGTCCCTATTTCCCGTCTCTCTCTTGCTTCATTATGCTCCATTACCCATCTTATCTTTCCAAGTATTTTTTCTCTCCAGGCCTTGATCTCTCATCCCAGTCTCTCTCTCCGTGTGTCTCTGTCTCTGTGTTTGCGGCTCTTCTTTCCCGTCGTTCTACGTCTGTCTTTCCGTGGAGCTGTGTCCTGGTCTGTGTATCATCTCCAATCTTCCATCCTCTGTTCTCTCTGTCCCGCTGCACCTGCAGAGCTGAAGGGCCTTCCGCCGTCACCGTACTCTGCTCTCCTGCTCTTTCTCACTCCTTTCTGGCACGTCCCAGAGGCTCCTGGCATCGGCACGGGACGTTACTCTCCCCAGTTTACAGATGTGGAAGCTGAGGCTCTCGCTGCTGGTGCCAGGCTCCCATCTCTGGGTCTCTTCCTTCCGCCTACTCGGCATGCTGTTGTCCCTGAGGTGTCCGTCAACCACCTGATCCGGCAGGGGCCCGGGGACTAGCACCTCGGACAGCTCCTGCAAGGTGATGGGCGGCCGGGCTGTCCTCGCGAGCGCAGCAGGAGCGGCCCCGGGAGTGAAGCGGAAGTCTCGCGAGAGTGGCTGCTGCAGGTTGTGGCGGTGTGGGCGCGCGCGGAGAAGGCCCCGGGCGCGCGCGCGCGCGCGCTCCCCGCCTCCAGCCCGGGAGCGGCTCGCGGCCGGCTCCGCGCCGCATCCCTCGGTTCAGCGCAGCTCAGCGCACCGCGGCGGCCTTTCGGCAGCCGAACGGCTGTGGCAGGTGAGTCTGGGCATGAAGGCTGGGAGGTGAGCTTTGCAGGGAAGCTGGGCGCGGGGCGGGAAGGGTGGGGATCCCTGGCTGCAGGTTTGTACCCCCTACACTTCACCTTTGGATGCAGGGAGCAGGCCGAACTGCCGGAGAGGTGGGAGTGGAGGTGACCTTTCCTGTTCGGGGGCTGGGGAGGAGCGCTCAGGGCGCACCCAGCCCCCCAACCCCTCCCATCCCCATCTGTGGCTCCCGCAGAGGGAACCGGGCCTTTGGGTGACGTCAGACCCTGGATCTGGAGCCTGAGCTTTGGGCCCTCCATCCCCCCCCAGCCCCACCTGGCGTTCCCTGGAAACCGGCCTTCTGGAGATGGCGCGCGCGGCCTGGGAAGGGGGCGACTGACTGCAAGGGGGTGCCGATGGCCTCCTTTGGGTCTTTCCTTGCAACTAGCGCCTGCAGGTGGACCTGGGTTGACTTCCCTCACCTCCTTGGGGCGACCGACCTTTGGACTGCGGGCCTCAGCCGCCCCAGGGTTGCTGGGGGACGGGTGCGCTGGCCCAGGCCACAGGGCGGGCTCTGTCAGGGCTTTGGGTGATGAGTTGGGGGCGCTGGATATAGCTCATTTCAACGGTGGCCGGAGTCGGTCACGAGGATGGCGGTGAGGCGTTTGGGGACTGATCCCTGTCCCCCACCTCGGGGAGCTCCTGGTCTGGGGGTTCGGGGTACCAAGTAGAGACTGGGCTTGAGCATTCGCCATCACAGGCGGTTTACACCGTTAATGTCCCAGCTTCCCGATGGGAAGATCAATGAGGGCCTGGCAGGCTTTCCCAGGAACACAGAGAGAAAGAGAGGCGACAGCCAGCGAACGGGAGACTTCCAGGGGTGATGGGATTTGGGTGGGAGGAGAGGCAAGAGAGGACATTCCAGGAGACTGTATGGGCAAAGGCACAGGGATGCGAACTAGCACAGCTGTTGGGGGCTGAGCCTGGGAGCTCAGCCATGTGACTGCCCATAGGGTGGCAGAGTGTGGAAAAATTTGCAACCTGTACCCTACACGTTCTGCCTCCATGGAGCAGGGCTCTGAAAGAGGGAAACGGTTCTTGCAGGGGCATGATTGGCAGAGAGATTTTGTTTGGGGCTACACAGGTCTTGCCAACTTTGGTTTGTTCTGGGCTTGGTGAGTATTAGGGCACAGTCTCCAGATCTGAGAGGCAGCTGTCTCTGGTGAATGGGCCCCTGAAAGAGGGTCTTAGGTTTAGCAAACCCCTTGGAGAGTTGGTGGGGTCCCAGGAGGGGAGTTCTAGACAGAGATCCTGGGCTCTGTGGCTGTTTCTTTAGCCTTTTCCTGGCTGGCCACCTCCAAGCCAAGTTGATTCCCCACTCCGGGCGTCTCTTTGCGAGCACCTTTCTAGAGGGATGAAATAATAGGACTAAGTAGTGACCTCTCTCGAGGATGCTCCCTGTTCTAGTTTAGAGCATCCCCCCAATTCTTCTCCCTCTTCCTTTCCCTTTCCCCCCCCATCCCTCTGCCTCTCTCTCCCTGTCCCCTCCCCTTGCCCTCCACAGCATTTCCTTTAGAGGCTGCACTTCCTTCCCTGCTGCCAGCCAGGAACTTCAGAAGGTTTCTCAGAGGAAGTGTGATACAGCAGGTTTGAAAGCAGCTTTGGGCTTAGCCTGATTGGGGGAGGGCATTAATTGTTTCTCTCCCACCCCTTGGGAGAGTGTGCAAGGGAGTCTTAAGCAAGTATATGGATTGACTGTGCTCTGTGCTGGGTCCCTCCTGGAAACTCCATCCAGGAGGGAGTGAGGGAAAGATTATAGGAGAATACGTGAACACTTAAGTGCCCAATGATTGACTCAAAATGTATGCAGTGGGATGCCAAGCATCAGTGTCTGGAAAGGCTTCCCAGAAGGGGTGGGATGTGAGAAGATGGCAGGACGTAGAGGAGCCAATAGTGCTGCCAGTTCAGGGGCACCAGAAGCAGAGGGAATGGCTGGAGATGATCTGCATGGGGCTGGGAGCGTGGGAGGCAGGTCAGCCTGTGAGCAGCAAAAGGTGGTGGGGAGGGAGGTTTGTAGCTGATGGGCACAAAGCCCTGAATGCCAGGCACAGGATCTGTAGGAGGCTACTTCAGAGTCATCAGTAGGACAGGGATAACATGGCCAGGAGACTGCTGTTTTCTGAGGATTATTCATAGTTCTTCTGAGGATTATTCATAGTTCTGGGATTTCAGGGCAGAAGATGGGGCTAGGAGTGGGATGACGGGACTGGAGGTAGAGCAGGAGGGGTAAACTTCCATCTTAGCAGGTTGGCTCTGGGCAGCAGAAAGGAATGACCATTTCTGTGCCAGGGATGAGGGGCCCATACTGGTGAGCAGGGAGGCCTGGAGTTGGCCCTAGGGCTCTGGCCTGATCCGAGGCCAGGCTTGACTCTTTTCTGCTCCTAAGGGCCTCAATCTTCCCACTGTGGGGGGAGTCTGTCCTCCTATCTTCACAATAAGGAATGGAATACATTATAGTCAGGATTTCTTGAACAAAATTCAGGTAGTATCTACTGTCTTACTGATAATTAAGGAGGTGTTTCCATAGGCCTACATCTCTGGAGGGATATGTAGCCCCCCTCCCCCTTATAAAAGATTATCAGTTGAGCAGATTGCTACTTTTTCTGTTTTGTAGTCTACAAATTTTGGTTTGGTCAGGCATAGTGGCTCATGCCTGTAATCCCAGCACTTTGGGAGGCCAAGGCAGGTGAATCACCTGAGGTCAGGGGTTCAAGACCAACCTGGCCAACATGGTGAAACCTCATCTCTACTAAAAATACAAAAATTAGCTGGGCATGGTGGCACATGCCTGTAATCCCAGCTACTAGGGAAGCCGAGGCAGGAGAATCACTTGAACCTGGGTGGTAGAGGTTGCAGTGAGCTGAGATTGTGCTAATGCACTCCAGCCTGGACAACAGAGTGAGACTCTATCTCAAAAAAAAAAAAAAAAAAGAAAGAAAGAAAGAAAAAAAAAAAGAAAGAACTTTGATTTTGCAGAGGCCAGTGATTTCTGTCTTCCCCTCCAACCCCCTGCCACCCATTTCCAAGGCTTGCCCTGAAACAAGGGCAGAGAAGCCTGGAACCTTCCATTTCTGTGACCCTAGTCTTTTACCGCCCTCTCAAGCCGCAGATTCTCTCTGCCCTAATCTTTATATACAAACAAGGCAGCTTTGCCCCGTGCTCTGGTTTCTGCTCTGAATCATTCATACTTTGCTGCACTGACTTCTCTGGAACGGTAGGCAGACTTTTGGGAGATTGTCTCGGACCAGGGACAGGGGTTAGGCTAGAGCCCAGGTAGGGAGGAGACCCCTCCTTCGAGGCCCCTGCATTTTGGTTGCTTTCTCCTCTCCTCCTGCGTCCTCGTTCTCCTGGAGGTCATTAGTGCTGGACCGCAGTCTCCCACTCCACATTCCATTTTCTCAGGGGAGGTAGTACCTCTTTTAGGCACCATTTTAACCAACTACACCTGAATGTGGTCCTCACTGGCATGTGGCCACCTCTGAAATCTTAAACTCCAGTATCCCTCTCTAACCACAGTCCAACTTCTGCTTTATCTGCTCTGTGACCTCAAGGAGACCTCTGGTTCTCAGACACCTCCATTTTCTGTCTCATGATTTACCTTTTCTGTGTTCTTTCTGAACCCCATGCCCTCAACTACTGTGCCACTTTGCTCATGTGTCACCACAGCTGCCGTGAAGGGTCTCCAGTCTCAGCTGACCTTCCATCACTTCTGGAAACCCCTCTCCTCATTCCCATCAGTTCCCCTTTGTATTCCATGGGAGGAGTATTCCAAGCTGGACTACTATCCCCAAGCCCTTTGCTCCTGTAGAGAGTGGTTGGGGTGTGTGGCGGGGGAGGTGGGACCACCCCATGTTTCTACATTTCTCTCAAATCCCAGTAGAAGGAGATTCCTGGTGTGACGCACCTGATCTGTGCTATGGATGCCCACCCATCCTGTCTCCCAAGGTACCATTGTCCATCAGTCTCTCTGCTATTTCCCTTAATAACTCCCTCCAACCTTAGAAATATGCTCAAGTCTTCTATTCTGGGAAAAGCTTTTCTAACTCTGTGTCCTCCTCTCACTACTGCCATTTTAAACCTATGACGTCTTACTACAAAAGATGGATATGTGACCACTGTAGAAATTTTAGAAAATAAAGAAAATGGCCAGGCACGGTGGCTCATGCCTATAATCCCAGTACTTTGGGAGGCTTAGGTGGGTGGATCTTGAGGTCAGGAGTTTGAGACCAGCCTGACTAACATGGCGAAACCCTGTCTCTACTAAAAATAAAAAATTAGCTGGGCATGGTGGTGCGCACCTGTAGTCTCAGCTACTCAGGAGGCTGAGGCAGGAGAATCGCTTGAACCCAGGAGGCAGAGGTTGCAGTGAGCTGAGATCATGCCACTCCACTCCAGCCTGGGTGACAGAGCAAGACTCTGTCTTAAAAATATATATAATCCAGCCGGGCGCGGTGGCTCAAGCCTGTAATCCCAGCACTTTGGGAGGCCGAGGCGGGTGGATCACGAGGTCGAGAGATCGAGACCATCCTGGTCAACATGGTGAAATCCCGTCTCTACTAAAAGGTGCAAAAAAAAAATTAGCTGGGCATGGTGGCGTGTGCCTGTAATCCCAGCTACTTAGGAGGCTGAGGCAGGAGAATTGCCTGAGCCCAGGAGGCGGAGGTTGCGGTGAGCCGAGATCGCGCCATTGCACACCAGCCTGGGTAACAAGAGCGAAACTCCATCTCAAAAAAAAAAAAAAATATATATATATATATATATAATCCAGGCTACAGTGGAAATAAAAATAAAAAAGAAAAGAAAGAAAAGTAGTAACTTATCCCACTATCAAGAGACAACTACTTATTTATTTATTTTTATTATTTTTTTTTAGATGGAGTCTCGCTCTTATCACCCAGGCTGGAGTGCAGTGGCATGATCTTGGCTCACTGCAACCTCCACCTCCTGGGTTTAAGTGATTCTCCCGTCTCGGCCTCCCAAGTAGCTGGGATTACAGGTGTGCACCAGCACGCCTGGCTAATTTTTTTGTATTTTTAGTAGAGAGGGCATTTCACTGTGTTGGTCAGGCTGGTCTCAAACCCCTGACCTCAAGTGATTCAACCACCTCGGCCTCCCAAAGTGTTGGGATTACAGATGTGAACCACCTTGCCCAGCCCAGAGGCAGCTACTATTAATCTTTTGGTGTGTAACGTTTCAGTGTTGTCTCAGATATTCTGTGTGTGCGTGTATTAAAATTTCAGCCGCGGCTGGGTGAGGTGGCTCACCCCTGTAATCCCAGCACTTTGGGAGACTGAGGTGGGTGGATCACCTGAGGTTGGGAGTTCGAGACCAGCCTGACCAACATGGAGAAAGCCCATCTCTACTAAAAATACAAAATTAGCTGGGCATGGTGGCGCGTGCCTGTAGTCCCAGTTAACTAGGGAGGCTGAGGCAGGAGAATCACTTGAACTTGGGAGGCGGAGGTTGCGGTGAGCTGAGATTGCGCCATTGCACTCCAGCCTGGGCAACAAGAGTGAAATTCTGTCTCAAAAAAAAAAAAAAAAAAAAAAAAAATTCAGCCAAGCTTTTTGAAAGACCCGTCTGCTAGACCTGTCTCTTCTTCTTCCTCATTATTTTTCTAATTTCTTGGCAGCTTGGCTTCTCCCCTCCCACTTCCCTGAAGCCACAGAGCTCACAGCTGACTCAGTTTTGCTAGTATAATAAAACACTTCCTGGCTGGGCACAGTGGCTCACGCCTGTAATAATCCCAACACTTTGGGAGGCTGGGGCGGGTGGATCACGAGGTCAGAAGATCGAGACCACGCTGGCCAATATGGTGAAACCTCGTCTCTACTAAAGTACAAAAACGTAGCCCGGTGTGGTGGTGTGCTCCTGTAGTCCCAGCTACTCAGAAGGCTGAGGCAGGGGAATTGCTTGAACCCCAGGGGGCAGATGTTGCAGTGAGCCGAGATCTCGCCACTGCACTCCAGCCTGGTGACAGAGTGAGACTCCATCTCAAAAAAATAAAAAAATAAAAAAATAAAACAAAACACTTCCTGATTGCCATGTCAACTTGTCATCTGACTGCTTCCCGGCCATGGACGTTGTTGACCCAGTTGACCAGTCATCAAAAAGATCTAGATAGATCTGTATTCATTGACTTGAAAAACTTGCATGAGGTATTGTTGAGTGGAAAAATACAGGTTATAAAACAGGATGTGTGGAATGATCTCATTTTTGTCATATGTGCTTCTATATACATTAAAAAATGAAAGCCTACAAAATCCCCCAGGCCTAAAGATCAGACTGTTAAAGGGGCGGAATCTGAGACGGTGGGTTTTGGGAGGACTTTTCTACTTTATGCACTTAGATTTTAAAAAATGCATGTATTAGCCGAGTGTGGTGGCTCACGCCTGTAATCCCAGCACTTTGGGAGGCCGAGGCGGGTGGATCACGAGGTTAAGAGATCGAGACTATCTGGCTAACATGGTGAAACCCCATCTCTACTAAAAATACAAAAATTAGCTGGGCGTGGAGGTGTGCACCCGTAGTCCCAGCTATTCGGGAGGCTGAGGCAGAATTGCTTGACCCTGGGAGGCGGAGGTTGC